CCCACATATGGGGGCCTTTCCAAGTGACTGAATGATAGTTCCACTCTCACCTCCCAGCACCAGTACCGTGGAGCTTGAATGGCCGACATCAACGAAGGATGTCTGCTGGCTGTCTTTCTAATGTATGTCTCGGATAACATCAGATCGCGACTATTCCACTGATCAATCATCCTTCTCTTAGCCTCCTAGAGGAAGATCACCGTCACACTGTCCACCCTCTCCACTCCGAAACGCGTTCTTTCCAATCGACAGGCCTCAATCCAGACTCCATTCCATGTCCGACAACGGCTCAGACGACAACAACGACCAAGGGATATGGCAGCGAGGTTCCCCATCACCCGCCTTATCCGTCTCCCATCTCGCAGCCAGATTCGCCCAAAGGAAGGATACATTCGTAGGAGGCACTGCACCGCGATCACCTATGCAAAGCGACGCAGAGCTGGAGCGGAAGAGGAGAGGGAACGCAACCGTAGTCATCGAGAGGCAGAAACTATACTCGCGGGAGGCTCAGTGCAGGAGACTCGGTGAAGACTGTGGGTTGGCTATGATAGAGAGACGCTCCCACCACCACCATTCAGATCTCACATACCTGACCCACCCTCCCCGTCTAATTCGCGGAAAGAGTCAGGTGGCTACTAATCGGTGGTCTGCTGCGGAGAGTAGGCTTACGCCTACGAAAGACCCTTTGACGCCTGCTCAACAGATTATATTGGACACAATGGCGAGGGATAAGGATAACAAGCAAAACGTCAAAGGCAAGGAGAAGGAGTGGCCCAAGGCAGATTCACGATCTAGTCAACATTCCAATAACTCCCATCCGACGCGTCCCCGCACCTTCTCCTTCCACGTCTTCGCCTAGCCCTCCTCGTCCAAGTGTCTCGAATCTGCCATCCAACTTGACGCCTTCTCCCATGCATACAACCGATACATTGTCTTCCTCCCCTTCTCGCGAGTGTCCACCTTGTATGCACAATTCACAAAACACTAGACGTACCAGGTACACACCTAATGATGGCCAAACGTTCGAGAAGCTCAAAAAATGGACCGTGGGCCACGTTAGGGCTTTGGAAGATCGGGTGGATGATGTAAAGAGGTGGTTAGTCGATAAGGAAGCGGAGAAGGAAAAGGACAAAGAGAAGGACAAGGCATCCGAATCCGAGTCGCTAAGACACGCAGGTTCGACGGATAGCGGGAAAGATGAGATCCATGAACTCCGAGACGAAGTCATCGAGCTCCAAGGGCGATTGGGCGAACTAGGTCGGGAGATGGTGAAAATTGCCACGGCCCCCAATAATCTTTCTGCGGGACCTAGAACGCAGTCCGCCGCTGTATCGCTAGCACCACAAACCACTTCCTCCATAGTCACGCACTTCTTCCAACGCACTTAACAGGATCTCTGTCAGCACCCAGCACGCCCATCCACCATCCCAGGTTATCCAGTACCACTGCGAGGGAATCTACGAGTTCTCCCATGACTTCGAAGAGCAGAGAGTCGAGAACGAGGTTACCTTACCCTGCGGGAGATTATTCTTTTCCGCCAGACACATTCTCTCCTAGTAATTCTCCACCTTCGTCGATTAGTTCCGCTATGAGGCCATTGTCTACGGCCATTTCGGGGCTACCCCTCCATGCATCCTCAGGAGTGGGCACACTACCGGGTGCTTCGTACTCCACCACATCACTCTCCTCACTGGCTTCGGGTGCGGGCAGGCCGCCGTCCCCGCCTGCTCAACCCAAGTTCGCTCCTGCGTCTGCTTTGGTCAACCGAACGGCCAGCCCAACGCCCGCACCAGCAAAAGGACGAGGAACACAACAAGGTTTGCCGCCACCCCCAAAATCGGCTGTTTGGTAACGACAAACGAGTGTAAGCCCCACGCCG